TCGACTTTCTTTCTTTTTTTTTTTTTTATTTTTATCCCATTTCCATGAATATTTTTCAATCTATATTTTCCTCCGTTATCCTCTTCATTTCTTCCTATCCTCCCTATCCTCTCATCCCTTCCCGTCTTCCTCTCGCATTCCACAGAAAACATCCAAGGAATCCAGCGATAGTGAGATAATTCTGTATAGTCCTGCGCTGTTCTATGTAGGCTATGTAGTCGTCCTATGTAGTTCCTATGTAGTCCTATGTAGTCCTATGTAGTCCTATGTAGTCCAATGTAATCCTATGTAGTCCTATGTAGTCCTATGTAGGTACCATTAGATGCACTCGATAACGTATGCGGTCACCTGAACCGAAGTACAATAATTTTAAAAAAGTTAAAAAAAAAAGAAAAAAAAAACTAATGAAAAAATGTCCTGTTCTTTCCCTTGTCCCTTTTCTATCTAATGGGTTCTGCGTCCCCATTATTGAAGGGGGGGCGTTTCGGGCGATAATGGAAGTAGCAGGGTCATTAACGTGCTACCAGACATCCGGTCTGTGTGAATAGGGTGGAGGGTACGGCGAGCGATAGACAGCGATAGATAAAAAAAGGTAGAAAAAAGTAGACATGTGAAGCGAATAACTTCACAAAGGAAAATGAAGTTTGGGAAGTTAGTTATTATAAATTATATATGTATAGTCTCCCTACTAATCTATCGATAGATTGGTTGGGAGCAAAAGATGTTAGAGACTAAAGGGAGCGTAGAGAAAGGGGGTGTACGTGCGTGTGTTCGTGTGTGTGTGTGTGTGTGTGTGTGTGTGTGTGTGTGTGTGTGTGTGTGGGGTGTGTGTGTGTGTGTGTGTGTGTGTGTGTGTGTGTGTGTGTGTCGTGTGTGTGGTGTGTGTGTGTGTGTGTGTGTGTGTGTGCGTATCCAAACAGTTATGAGAATATCTAAGCCGCCGCACAGGTACAGGAACTATGCAGTAGTATATAAACTGACATTTCAGACACACAAACAAAAAATGAATAAAACGTAGAATACAAAGGCATAACCCCACCCCCTCCTTCCCCCACGCCCGCACCCTCCCCAACCGCCCCTCACCCTCCTCCATCACCTCCTCTCCCCCCACCCACGCCCACCGCCCACACCCCTCCCCAATCAACCCCCCACCCCCCCACACGCCCGCCACCCTCCCCCCAACACGCCCGCACCCTCCCCCCCATCACCCGCACCTCCCCCATCACCCACACCCACCCCCGGCTATTTTTTATCCCGACGGGTGTGTTTGACGACGGGTGACAGCCTCGCGCACCCAGGGGGAAGGCCTGTGACGTGTGAACCTAACATCATGCCCTTATATGGTGCCGCTGAGGCCTTCCCCCCATCCCCCACCCCCCACACACTTCCTCCAAGCCCCACCCGTATCTCACCCCCACGCCCCCCAAATCCTCCTTCCCCCCCACCCCACCCTTTCAAACCCCACCTCCAATCTCACCCCCACCCCCACCCCATATCCTCGGTCTCATCCCCTCCCCCCTCCCCCCAGACCTTGCCAATACCTCTGCCATATCATCTTTTTCCTCTTCCCTCCCCCCTTTCCCCCTTACCCATCCCAACCCCCCTCCTCCTTTTACCCCTAGTCCCCCCCCGCCCCCCTTCCCCATATCATATCCATAGATTATCTAGCTTGGTGGGATAGCAATTGTTATTTTATACAGTGTGTCATCAAAGATAATTTTGGCAGAATATGGGTGAGGAGGAAGTGGGGGAGGGGGGGGAAGGGGGGAGGGTGGAGGGAAGGGGGGGGCGGGGAGGAGGAGGGAGGGCGGAGGGGATGGAAGGGGAGGGGGAAGGGAGGAGGGGAAGGGAGGGACGGGATGACACTGTTATGGCCTTTGTTTATTTATGTGGAAATTATGGAGATTCTCTGTCTTTGGTGTCTCTTTCTTTATAGATACATACATACACACCCAAACTGTATATATACATACATACATACATATATTATATATATATATATATATATATATATATATATATATATATATATATATATATATAATATATATATATATATATATATTATATTAATATATATATATAATATAATATAAATATATTATATATATATATATATATATAATATATATATATAATAATACATCATAGATGAGAGAGAGAGAGAGAGAGAGAGAGAGAGAGAGAGAGAGAGAGAGAGAGAGAGAGAGAGAGAGAGAGAGAGAGAGAGAGAGAGAGTAAGAATGACGAGAACAGAGAGCGAAAGAGTAAAGATGAAGGAGAACGGAGGAGAGGAAAGGAAGAAAAAAAAATTGTATCAGAAGAATAAGAAGGAGGATAAGGAAAATTATAGTAATATAGTAGTAACAGCAGCAGCAGCAGCAACGGTAATAACAGTAGTAGAAGAAATAGAAGAAATAGAAGATAATATGGAGGAGGAGGAGAAAAAAAAGAAGAAAAAGAAAGAGAGGAAGACGAAAAGCAGAAGCAAAATGAAGAGGAGGAAAAGCAGGAAGAAGAAAAAAGAAAAAAAGAAGGAAGAACAGAAGAAAGAAGAAAGGAAAAACAAGAAGAAAAAAAGAAAGGTATGGCATAATAGAAAGAGAAAAGAAAATAGTCCCACCCCCTCCCCCTCGCCCCCACACCACCCAAGCCACCCCCGAAAGGCACTCGAGGAAACGAGATCGAATGGGCGGAAACAGGCGCGGCGCCCACGGCCAGCCAGTCACCCGAGCAGCCAGACAGACAGCCAGACAGCCAGACAGACAGAGGCCGAGGAGGAGACCGAGCTAGACAGCCAGACAGACAGACAGACACGAGGACGAGGAGGAAGACCTAGACAGCCAGACAGACCAGACAGACACGACGAGGACCGAGCTAGACAGCCACAGACAGAGCCAGACAGACACGAGGCGAGGAGGAAGACCGAGCTAGACAACCAGACAGACAGCCAGACAGACACGAGGCGAGGAGGAAGACCGAGATACTAAGACAGGCAGACAGACAGACACGAGGCGAGGAGGAAGACCGAGACAGACAGCCAGACAGAACAGGCGAGGAGGAAGACCGAGCCAGACAGCCAGACACACGGCGAGGAGGAAGACCGAGCCAGACAGACACGAGGCGAGGAGGAAGACCGAGCCAGACAGACACGAGGCGAGGAGGAAGACCGAGCTAGACAGACACTTGGCGAGGAGGAAGACGAGCTAGACAACCAGAGACACGAGGCGAGGAGGAAAGACCGAGCTAGAACAGCCAGACAGACAGCCAGACAGCCAGACAGACACGAGGCAGGAGGAAGACGAGCCAGAGACGACGGCGAGGAGGAAGACCGAGCTAGACAGCGGACAGACACGAGGTCTCTCGGTCAGCCAGACTGTCAGGTGAAGCGCGTAATGCAACACTGCGCGGGATGGCAACGCTGCCGACGATGGCAACGCTGCTCGCGGGTTGGCACTGTCCCAGCTCGATCCTTCTCGTCCTTCTTTGTCCTCGCTTTATTCTTCTTCCTCCTCTTCCTCTATCTCCTCCTCTTTCTCTATCTCTTCCTCTTCCTTCTCCGGCTCTTCTTCTCCCTGTTCACCTTTCTTCGTTTTTCACTCTCCTCCGTCATTTCAATTGCAGGATCCTTCTTTTTTTTTTCCTGTACCCCCTCCTTCTAATATCCCTCTTTCTTTCTTGCTTGCTTTCAACTCTCTTCTTCGTATTTATCTCTTCACCCCGACTATTTTCCCGAAAAAGTTGTCATATATCACACGCAAACACAAACACGCGCGCGCGCGCGTGCGCGCACACACATAGACGTCCACGCACACTCACGCACACATAGACGTCCACGCACACGCACGCACACAGCTGCGAGCGATCACATTGCTGGGTGTCCAAACGAGGAAAAAGTTCGTGATTTCGTATCAATTATTCGATTCCTTTTTCTTCGTTTCATTCCCGTTTCTCACTTCCTTTCAACAACTGGGGGGGGGGGCGAAGGTCTTGCAGAAATATGGAGTTGTTGTAAAGGCTTCTATGAGAATACATATATATATATATGTTGACATATATGCAGAAATACTGTATGCGTATATACATTCTCTCTCTCTCTCTCTCCTCTCCTCTCTCTCGTCTCTCTCTCATCTCTCTCTCTCTCTCTCATCTCTCTCTCTCTCTCTCTCTCTAATATATTATATATATATAATATATATATATATATATATATATATATATTATATATATCAACAAACTACCATAAATATATATATATAATAATAAAAAATAAATATAATTAATATATATATTATAATATAAATACATAATAACAAATAATCAATTATACACACTCCGATATTTATAATATAGCATTGCACATGTTATCTCTACTCATCAGTGTTGAGGTCTTAAAACGTCCTCGCTGTGGTCGCGTGCGGTCGAGAGTGAGGCTGAGTCATAAAAGAGACATATCATGAAAAAACCAGCGAGGAAGAGTGAGAGCAAGGAGAGTGTGTGATGAAAGGGAGGAGAGGAAGGGAGAGAGGAGAATGGAGAGAGGAGAAGAAGGGAGATAGAGGAGAGAGGGAGGGAGAGGAGGAAAGAGGGAGAGAGGAGGAGGGAGAGAGAGGAGAGAGGAGAGAGAGAGAGAGAAGAAGAGAGAGAGAGAGAGAGAGGAGAAGAGAGACTAGGATAGATAGAAAGAGGGAGGGAGGGAGAATAAATGAAAGAAGGAGAATCACAAGCAGAGAACTAGAGAGACTGAAAGAGACTGAAAGAGAAAATAATGATTAAACCTATTAAAACCAGTTAAATTCTAAGACGAAATACTACCACTAAACCCACTTTTGCTTTTTCTCCCATAATTATATAACCAAATAGCTTCCTTACGCTATCTGGATACACCATATCAACCTAATAAAGATAAAATACAATTCAAACACACAAAAATAAAGAAAAATGAACAACATCTATGAAAACAAAAACATGAATTTAACATTTTTCTTTTTTCTTTACAGTAAAATGGAGTCTCATCGATGCCTGTTGGTGCTGGCACTCATCTGCCTAGCCAGTGCCATCACTCACGTAGCCACACAACAGGTAAGTGTTGTCTTTATCTATAATTATGAATTGTAAAAAAAAAAAAAAAAAAAAAAAAAAAAAAAAAAAAAAAAAAAAAACTTCCCCCCTAAAAAGGAAAAACAAGTAGAAGCAAAAATACGGTAATAGAAGAGGAGAGGGAAAATCTAGATAAAAGAGGGAATAGTGATAATAAAGAAAGGAGGAATTTTAGATACAGTGATACTGATAAACGATCCAAAATGAAAAATGAAAAAATGTAATGTTGGTGTAAAAATAGAGTTTTTGCTTTGTGAAAAATACATCCACAAAATAATTCAGTTTTAAAAAAACGATAAATCAGAAATTGAATAAGTAAGTAAGTAAGGAGAGAAAGGAAGAAAGAAAGAAAAGTAAATACAGCAAACAAAAACTTTCACTGAACCACTTTCGATTGTTAAAAGGGGGAGGGGGGGGGGGGAGGGGAGAGGAGAGGGAGGGAAGGGGAAAAGGGAGAGAAATAAAAGAAGAGAAGGGGAAAGGGACGGAAATGGGAGGGAAGGGAAGGAAGGAGAATGGGAAGGGGAAAGGTGAAAGGGAGAGAGAATGAAGGAGAAGAAGGGGAGAGGGTGAAGGGGAAAGAGAGGGTGAGGGGAAAGGAGAGAGGGGAGGGAGAGGGGAAAGAGAAGGTGAGGGGAGGAGAAGGAGAGGAAAGGTGAATGAGTAGGAGGGAGAGATGGGGAAAGGGAGGGTGAGGGGAGGGGAAGGGGGAAGGGCCTCGCAGAGATTGTGCTTTAGGTGAATGGGAACAATTTTGTGTCGATACTAAAAATATAAACAAAAAATTGAAAGCTCTGTTACATTCTTCGAGTATTTCTTCTACTCCTCTTTCTTTTTTTTCTTTTTTTTTACTTAATTCCTTTTTATAGGTGTGTAAGTTGCAATATTGTTGCAATGGGGCGTTGCAGGGAAGTGAAGCAAGCGGGGGAGCGAGAGGAACTTTTCCTTTTTTTTATTTTAAGTAATTCCTTCCGTTTGTCAACTTGCAATTTTGCTCTCTTGCTATTTCCACTTCCTTATGCGTGACGTGTGAGTAATCTTTGTCTCGAAATCTCTCTCTTTCTCTCGTCTCTTTTGCCTTCGACGCCATCTTTGATGTCTGTGTTATTACGGGTATTTTCCATTATACTTTCTTTTTTTTCATGGGGCAGATTGGTACACACATTTACGTACACGCATACACTAAGGCAATCATACACACACACACACACACACACACACACACACACACACACACACACACACACACACACACCACACACACACACACACACACACACACACACACACACACACACACACACACACACCATACACAAACACACACAAATAAATACACATACATACACACACACACACTCATAAACACACACACAGTTAAGCACACATACACACACACACACACACTCACATACGCACACACACATAAGCACACAGCCCAGTGCGTGCATGTGTATATGCATGTGCATATATATATTCAGAAGTAGCATATTATACGATTTATTTATTTATTTATTTATTTATTTATTTTAGACGATAGGAATAAGATAAAGTGGAGACGGGTGAATGGTGCGTTAATGGAGGCAGGGGGGAGAGGGGGGGGAGGGGGCAGATGACTACACCTTTAACACTTCCCCTTCCATTGCGTCACTAGACCCCCTACCCCCTCCCATCACCCCTTCCCCCTCCCATTCCTTCCTTGCCTTCACCCCCTCCTCCCATCCCCTCCATCCCCTCCCACTCCCTTCCTTGCCTTCACCCCTCCCCCCCCTATCCCCTTCCCTTCCTGCCTTCACACCCCCTTCCCCCCTACCCCCCTTCCCTTCCTGGCACGACCACTCCTCACCCCGGAACTGTCATATGACACTCTATACTGTCTTGAAGGAAGTCTGGTCGTCTCGAGTCTTTTTATAGACTGTATTTTTATATCTTCTTTTTATTTGTTTGTGTCTGTTTCGCTTTGGGGAGAAAGGGAGAGGAGGAGGAGGTGGATAGATGGATCGTTGGATAGGGAGGGAGTATAGAGATTGTTGGAGATAGAGATAGATAGATAGATACATAAAGAGAGATTTAGGTATATAGATAGACGGATAGATAGATATGTAGATAGAGAGATAAATATATACATGAACACACACACACACACACATATATAATACAGACAGACAGACAGACAGAGACAGACAGAGACAGACAGAGTGAGAGAGAAAGAAAGAAAGAGATAGGGAGACAGATGGATAAGTAGAAAGATATAGTTATATGAAGATAAATACCTATATGTATACAGACAGATTGGTAGATAGACAAAACACTGACGGAGACAGAGACAAAGATAAAGACAAACAGAAAACAGGAAAGGGAGGAGGATGGATAAAGACGAGAGAGAGGGAGGAAGAGGCCCAGTCCTCCCCCCAAAAAAGAAAACAAGAAAGAAAAAGGAAGAAAGGGAGATTGAGGAGGACCGAAGAGAGACAGAGACAGACACAGACAGGCAGAGAACAGGAAAGGGAGGAGGATGGATAAAGACGAGAGAGAGGGAGGAAGAGGCCCAGTCCTCCCCCAAAAAAAAAACAAGAAAGAAAAAGGAAGAAAGGGAGATTGAGGAGGGCCGAAGAGAGCCCAGAGCGCGGTTCCCCGAGTCGCAACCGGGGCTCCGTTGCACAACCCTGACGTGATCCTCTGCAACCGTAATGTTGCATTGCGGGCGCGCGGGAGAGCGGGGGAGCGAGCGGACGGCTCTCGACCGCAGCTGCCCGCTCGCCGCCGCCGCCGCGCCGCCGCCGCCGCCGCCATCACCGCCGTTGGAGAATGCCGCTTGCGGTGAGGACGCCGAGGAGCTGGCTCTCGTGAACGGTGGGAGGAGCCAAGGCCGATTTCGGAGGATTTATGAAGCCAATTTTTTCTGATATAGTTTTCATCTTTATCTGTTTTCATCATGACGCAGAGTGTATTGAAAGTATATTTTCTAAATCGTGTCATTCGGCAAAAAAAGTATTAATAACAAAAATAATAAAATAAGAATAAAAGATAAATCAAAAGAAATAGAAAAATAAAACAACAAGATAAACACGCATATCAAACGCTAACGAAATACCTCTCTAACAAAAAACAAAAAATCTTTCTCACGAACGCCTCTAACCAACGCCTCACTCCAACTCTTCTCCAACGACCACCTTCCTTAGCGAACACCCTCCTTAGCGAACACCCTCCTTAGCGAACACCCTCCTTAGCGAACACCCTCCTTAGCGAACACCCTCCTTAGCGAACACCCTCCTTAGCGAACACCCTCCTAAGCGAACACCCTCCTTAGCGAACACCCTCCTTAGCGAACACCCTCCTTAGCGAACACCCTTTCTAACAAAAACTCTCTAACGAGCACCTTTCGAGCGCTTATAACGAGCACGTTTTCGCTCGACGAGAGGGAGAGCCGTCAGATGCTCTGGAATTTTCCCGCCTCGAGCCAAAGAAGGTTTAGGTTCGTGGTGTCTGTTTTTTTTCTGTTTTTTTTTCTTATCTTCTTCTCTCTCTCTCTCTTTTCTTTTTTTTCATTTTCTCTTGTCTTTCTTTGTCTTCTTTTTCTCTCTCTCGTCTTTCTTTTCTTCCTTTCGTTCCTTTCTTTCTTTCTTCTGTCTGGTCTGTCTGTCTGTCTGTCTGTCTGTCTGTCTGTCTGTCTGTCTGTCTGTCTGTCTGTTTTGTCTGTCTCTCTCTCTCTCTCCCTCTCTCTGTTCTTTCTCTCTCTCTCTCTCTCTCTCTCTCTCTCTCTCTCTCTCTCTCTCTCTCTCTCTCTCTCTCTCTCTCTCTCTCTCTCTCTCTCTCTCTCTCTCTCTCTCTCTCTCTCTCTCTCTCTCTCTCTCTCTCTCTCTCTCTCTCTCTCTCTCTCTCTCTCTCTCTCTCTCTCTCTCTCTCTCTCTCTCTCTCTCTCTCTCTCTCTCTTTCTCTCTCTCTCTCTCTCTCTCTCTCTCTCTCTCTCTCAATCTTCCTTTCTCCTTTTCCTCTGTTTTTTTCTTTATCTTTTCCAGAAGCTTTTTATGTCCAGGAATTGACGTTTATAAGCTTTCCTCCTTAAGACTTTCTAAAGCTACTTGAGATGCGCGGCTGAAGATCACGTGGTTTGGGAAGTTCATTATTAGAAGAATTTTATTAATTGAGTTGAGGTTTGATTTGTTATTTCTTTGCTTGGGTTTTTTTTTTTGTTTTTTTGTTTGTTGTTTGTTGTTCTCTTCTTTCGTTCTCTGTCTCTTTTTTTTTTTGTCTTTTTTCTGTTTGTCTCCCTTTTTCTCTCTTTCTTTCTTTCTGTCTGTCGGCCTGTCTGTCTCTCTCTGTTTCTTTCTTTCTCTCTCTCTCTCTCTCTCTCTCTCTCTCTCTCTCTCTCTCTCTCTCTCTCTCTCTCTCTCTCTCTCTCTCTCTCTCTCTCTCTCTCTCTCTCTCTCTCTCTCTCTCTCTCTCTTCTCTCTCTCTCTCTCTCTCTCTCTCTCTCTTCTCTCTCTCTCTCTCTCTCTCTCTCTCTCTCTCTCTCTCTCTCTCTCTCTCTCTCTCTCTCTCTCTCTCTCTCTCTCTCTCTCTCTCTCTCTCAATCTTCCTTTCTCTTTTTCCTCTTTTTTTTTTCTTTATCTTTTCCAGAAGCTTTTTATGTCCAGGAATTGACGTTTATAAGCTTTCCTCCTTAAGACTTTCTAAAGCTACTTGAGATGCGCGGCTGAAGATCACGTGGTTTGGGAAGTTCATTATTAGAAGAATTTTATTAATTGAGTTGAGGTTTGATTTGTTATTTCTTTGCTTGGGTTTTTATTTTTTGTTTTTTTGTTTGTTGTTGTTGTTCTCGTCTTTCGTTCTCTGTCTCTTTTTTTTTTTGTCTGTTTTCTGTTTGTCTCCCTTTTTCTCTCTTTCTTTCTTTCTGTCTGTCGGCCTGTCTGTCTCTCTCTGTTTCTTTCTTTCTCTCTCTCTCTCTCTCTCTCTCTCTCTCTCTCTCTCTCTCTCTCTCT